ATTTGGTTTGCAATATTTTCAAAATAAATGAATAAAAAATGAACATGACACAATGGCATGTGGAATACATCATTCCAATCTGGTTCCACCACCAGAAAAATACATGCATTTTCTATATAGATTGAATGAATATCATATATTAAGTAGACACAAAATAATTTTTCTCATGAGGTTATTATAATCCTATGTTACTTTAGTGTAGGAAAAAGTACATACATATTTGAAAGGCTCATTTCTTTGAACCAAAATGACTCCACATGAAAATTCCTATGGAGTGAAATCCTACATAATCATTTTGAAAACCCTTTACGGTAACGAAGCCCTCAACCATATCCTCACTATTATAATTGATGAAGTTGAAGTAAGCTCTCAAGATATTGCATGTATGAAGCTTTAATTGAAACTATATATATATGATATAAATAGCATATCATTTCTATTATGTCATGATGACACATACCCCCACTCAAAGTAATCGGCTTCCGCGTCGTCCCAGAAGGAACATCCTCAATGGCACACACATGTGCGTCTAGTGGAAGCACGTGTGCCTTGTCGGGCCACACACGCCATGCACCACATGCCCGCGCCCTTGATCCCCACACGCTCGTGTAACCGCAAGGGTCATCTCTCATACAATTTCTTAATGCCCCGGTCACAACTATCGGTTCCCACCCATTATGTTTGGCTACCACCTAGGACCTAGAGCGACCTCACAAGCCGATACTAGTCTTTTTCACGCACTTTCTCCTTGCTCGGTCGCATCCAGGAATAGTTTCCCGATGATTTACCCACACTCAAATTATCCCAGGTCAAGCACGCTTAACCTAGAGGTTCATTGGAGATGGGCTTCCCAACAAGAATATGCACCTTCTTGATATGACTAGTATATCATTTCTATAAAGACAGGATGCCACTGATACCAACTTTCAACTCAAAATGTCAAAGAAGTTTAGAGCCTCTTTGATTCAAAAGATCTCTAAAGGAATATTAGAGGATTATAATCCTTAGTATTCTTTCCTACTTCAGTTGTTTGATCTGTAAGATTTCAACACAAAATTTTGTCTCCTTGGGATTCATTTGTAGTAGTTTTCATAGGAAAACTTCCGTCAACTTCACATGAAGAATTCTAAAAAAAATCTGCGCACAATCAATCCACCGTACAAATCATTAGTATTGAAAGTGACATGTCACTCCATTCTTGTGTTTTTCCTATTCGTGCATTTTACAAATCCAATGAATCAACAAGCCCTTAAAAGGATTTGAATTTTCAATTGGAAAAAAGGAGCTTCTTAATTTCTCAACATTTCCAACACCTTTCAACTCAATTCTCATACCTCATAGAAGAAGATTCAAAGTTGTCAACTAATATGAATCCCTTCCTTTTAACTCCAAAATCTTGACATTCCAGTTAAAAAATTCCTTGAAACTCTACCAAGGGTGTGAACACGCACACAGTTTTTTGTGGTGCAGTTAATGTGATGTCGCAACTCATGACTACGATGTTGTGCGGACCATGAGTGGGGGGCGGCACTAGGGGTAGGACCAAGGTTGAAAAAAGTGGTAGGCGTAAGCGAGGCGGTTGGCCTTCCCCTAGTGCCTAGGCGGTGCTTAAGCGTCCTGGGCGCAGCCTAGGCAGTAATATAGTTTCTACTATCGGGGTGTATTTGTGATATTATATGGGTGTCAATATTAATTTAGGTCATATTAATAATTTAGCTACCAACTACCGCCATTTGAATATGGCATGTTTGGCATAGCAGGGTAATATAGAAAGATTTCTCGCTCGAGTAGATAATTTATTGCTTGCCCCTGCCTAGATTTCCGCTTATGCCCTAGGCGAGGCGTTTGGCCATCGCCTAGCGCCTAAGCGTGCTTAAGCGCCTCCTAGGCACTGCCTTTTTCAATTGAGGGTAGGACTACATGTGAGTGTTCACGCCATATGATAGGAGGGACACTATATTAGGAAAATGAAGGCGGTCTCGCCTACTTAGGGTCTATACGATTCAAATAATATCCAAGGGAATTCCGGAGGATTCTAATCCTTAGATTTTTTTATAGTGGGTTATTTGGTTCCTAGGGTTACAATCAATTGGGATTTTTTTCCTTAGTTCATTTGCACTAGGTTTCATAAGAAAACTTTCATCCACTCCAATTGCCTGCGAAGAATCCTATGTTTTTTCTATGCACAATCAAATGGCTACGCAATTACATAATATGCCATGAAACTACTTTTTTCCATTTATAAATCATGTGAATAAAAAAGCCCTTAAGAAAACATATAAAATTTATTATTGATCTTTTGCGAGAAAATTAAGGAACCTTGTTTTCCAAGATTACACCATGCAAACACATATTTAATGTTGGTATAGTTAAACTGAACATAGAAAGAAATACTTTAGAGCTAGTTTTTTTTCCCTGGAGAAAAGTCTCCCGGTTCTTTTTTAGATTTAGTGATTTCACTATACACCTCATTTTTTTAGAGAAAAGAAGGTTTTGAGCCCCCCGGCCCCATTATTATAGATGAGACCAGGAAAGTAACACCATTACAGTCATGGCAAGCATGTTCAGGAAAGTAACACCATATACACCTCATTTTTCGCGTTGTGGTATCACCAGAGAGCATATTCCAACATTTTTTTATCCAAACTGGAGCTTTCTCTGGTTCGGTCCACATAACAGCACAATAGTCACCAGCCCAACAGCAAACAGTAGGAGCGATTACACCTCGTTTTTGTTGTGGCCTTAATATATAGTCTCCCCTCAAAGCAGAGCTTTCTCTGTGCTTCATCCCTTGAAGAAGCAGAGCTTTCTGTGATTCGGTCCAGATAGAATAATTAATCATGAGAGAGACCCCGAAAGCAAAAGCAATAGGAGTTGATATGGACTTGCACTGCTCACGGAAGAGATGGGCACGGCCCCCCACTAGCGACAGCTCCGCCGCTCGCTCGCTGGAAATGACGGCGTAGGCCCTGGCCCGGGACGGGAGGCAGCTGTTCCAACCGTGATCCAGCCCCATCCCATGACAAGGGGTTCTACCTCTACCGTACCGCGTCCATGAGGCTCCGGGCTGTGTGGGTTGATTTGATTGATTCATCACGAGCGGCAGAGCCGTGCATCCACGCGCGCGCATACACGGGAAGCCGGGCTGGCTTAGCTGGGGCTGCGTCATCCAGGACCAGGACCGTACAAGCGATAAGATCCCCCTCCCTGGTCCAGTCACCATGTGATCCATCCATCAGCGTCCGTGTCCGTGTCCTGTCCCGTCCCGTCGTGGCGATCGCGCGCGCGTGCTGCATGGGTTGCTGCTGTTGCTGCCGCGGTAGCACGTACGTGCTGCATGCCCTTGGCCGCCAGCAGCACCGGGAAGAAGGGAAAGGAAATGAGCAGTTGTGTTTTTCCAGCTTCACATGTACCACGGCGAATGAAGTTCGTCGGCCGGTGAATTGGCCGGTGGACAGCGCATTTGCCTCTAGTCTTCGCTGGTGGTCTTTGCAGGGCTAGCTCATGCTCGACGTGTTCGCTGCACTACGCCACTTCCTTGGACACCCAACACGTGACGCCCCGTGTACAAGACAATATCTCCCATGCTAGCTAGCTAGACAGCGTGATGACTTGCTTCCTTTGAGGAAAAAACCTGGTTAGATGCCGTGGTCAGCTTGCTGTTTTTTTCTTCTTCTTCTCCCGGGGGAGATGCCCATATATGGGTCAACTCGGTTGTACTCCGTGGTAAGTCACCGTGACAGCCGGCCAGAGTTACAGCACAGGCGCGCGTCATTGCTGCTGCTGTACGCGCTCACCGTCCAGATAGATTTTGGTACTACCCAATGACGGTTGGGACTAATTAATCTATTTATTAGTAGTTCAGTACTACGTTAACCATGCTGTCTTTTAGTGTGTGTGGTTAACCATGCTGTTTGACCCGTGTACTCGCGTGGGCGGTCTGGACTTCGAGATGGATCACGACGCACTCCTTTGCCGACCATCCTTTCTGAGCCATAACGCGCCCGCCAGTTGAGGGAGGACGGTGAGTGGTTGGAAGTAAATGGGCAAAGTCCACCCTCACCTATGCAATCGTCTTGGTTCTTTTCCATTATTCTTAGTGTTATTTTTGGCTTATTTGCCAGGCCGAACTATATCATACTCACTGGTTTCTTTCGACATGTTGTACATGGCCATGTTTTGAAAAGAAAATAGTAATTCCTTGCAAAAAAAGAAAAGACAATAATAGTATACGGCATCAAAAAAAATTCAGGCTACACAACTATACAAATTATTATTTTCAGATGTTTTTTAAGTCAAGGTGGGATTTTGCGCTATAGAAGCTACTGGCTTGTTCAGCTCTGTGGAGCCGAGCCCAAGCTCACTATCATTTTTTATAGTGGAGGAAAACCAAAGCCAACCCTGGCTCGGCTCGTGGCTACGCCAGCTCGTGGGAGCGGCTCGGCTCGTTTCCACCTCTAGTCTAGTCTACACTCTACACCCACGACCTAACCCAACCGCCGGCAGGGACCGGATATGTGAATTGTCAAAGGCGAGGACCGTGGCGGATTACAAATTAAGTCAAGGTACCGCCTAAACACAATGCGCCAATCAGAGAACCCCGTACCCAGCACGTGCCACGGAGCGCGACCTGGACGGCCGAAATCACCCGGCCGACAGGATTGTTAGGAATAGAATTAGAGTATTTGTTAATTTACTAATTAACAAATGCTAATTAAGGAACCGACATAGGAACCGACCTTGTACTCTCTAACTGCTATGAGCAGTTGTACTTCCTCTCTCATCTTAACAACTGCTATGTGCAGTTGCTGTTTTGTCTCACGCATTGACAACCGCATGTTGCGGTTAGAAATGCTCTCACAGAATTGTAACTGCTCCCTGTATATATAGTGCTCAATCAATGAGAATCAAGAACTTCTGTCAAATCACTTTTTCACTTTACACGTTATCAGCACTCGCTCTGCCGAGAGCGACAGAGAGCCATCGCAGGAAAGGTAAGAATGGCAGGGAGGGACCTGCCGTCGCTTGCTTTCGCTATTGCACGCTTCCTCCAGAGAGAGAACCGTCGCTTTCCGCGCACCCATCGCCACCGTGCTGCAAGTCGCCGTCGCCGTCAGGGACTTGGCGCAAGGAGTGGCCCTCGCCGCCGCTTTTTCGCCTGGAACAACCGCCAGAACCGCCGCCGTGGGTACGCACGCCAAGGCAACCGCCCACTCCGTGGGCGAGCACCAACGGTGCACCAGGCTGGACCCTCGGCTCCGGCCACCGCTGCAAACCATGCTGGGCCTTCGGCTCCGGCTCGGGCCGTCGCCGACTACTACATCGTACCGACGACTCCGCCGCCATCTGTCTTCACCATCCCTCCTATGGATTGGCTCCTTGGAGGTCCATCGGCGCCATTCCTCGGAGAAGAAGAGATGTTCCCTTGCGAACTCGCGCCGCCGCCTCTGCCCCCGTACTGTGTGCGACACGGGTTTGAATCGTGCCCAGCGCGTACGGGCGCACCACCGCGGAAGCCGTCTCCGACACCATCAGATGAACTGCCGGAGCACTTCATGCCTCCTGGATACGGCCCCGTCCCGGATCTCCCATCCCCGACGCCGGCGGCAGCGGGAACCGGCGGCTACCCCTCCATCCCCGACTTGAACATCAAAATCAAGGTTGAAGAAGAGGAGATAGAGGACCAGGGCTCGTCGTCGACGCCACCACCTTCATCACCGGCGACACCACCTCCTCCTCCGGCACCGCCTCTTCCTCCGACGCCTCCGCCGGAAGCCCGTCGGATCCTGCGCCAGTTCGCCGCGGCCATGGCGCAGAACCGTGCAGCCCTTCGTGGGGCGTGGTCGCCAGATGCCCTTGGCCTCACCGGCGCCCCTGGGGCGAGCAGCAGCGGAGCAGGCCGTGCTGCGAAGCGGGGCCCACCTCGCTTCCATTGAAGACGGCGAGACGGGGTAGGGGAGAGCCGACGAGCAGCGGTGCTGAGTCCAAGTACGAACAGAGAAGGGGAATTGGAAGTGGCAGAGACGTGGGGAAACTCTCGATCCTGCTATCCTTATCCTCTCTCTGTCGGTGCATGGGCCAGGCCAACTCTCCCCGCTCCTCACCTAAATAGGCCTACAGGCCAATAAATCCAATAAGTACTGCTGGTGCTATGGCGTTTTCAACAGAGAATGGCCATAGTATTAATATATTGCATAGCAGTCAGTCCTGTTCATTTGAGAGTGCTATTTTATTGTACTAAGAATCTCTGTTTATTATATTCAGTCTGTATTGTATTGTAAGTTTGGATATCTAGACCATGTATTATCTAAATAAAGTCTCAGACTACGTGTACATATTCTATATGATTGCTTCAGCATTTTCCTTTTGGAATATGTAGTTCATAAGTACAACAATTTTTATTTTACAATTCATATTTCGGGATCACAGGGTAGATGAGGCATCTACTGCACTTTGCAGATTATCCTCATTGCTGAAAGATCTACGTTTCGTCTCTTTTTCTGGCGAAATGACTATCTTCGAGTGATCTCCCAAATATGCAAATTGATGTGATTACCTCGAATATTATACTTGCAAAACACAAGGTAACTGTGTGATCTACTGCATCAAATTGCAGACTATCCACTCTTACTGTGAGGTCTACATCTAGTCATTTGACAGATGACTACCTTCAAAGTGTTTTTGTAAAATTTAGTATGGCACAAGGTAATGGATATATGAACATCTACTGGTCAAAACCAGATTATGTTCTCCATTGCTGCGAGATCTACACCACAACGGTGACTATCTTCAAAGTGTCATTTACATAAAATGAGGTCTACACATATAAGTATAAAGCATCAGCTATACTTCAGAACTTTGCTCTTTTGAAGCATTTGTTGTTACTTAAATTTCACTCTCGTAGTAAAACTAATTTATGCATGATCACAACATGCAGGAAAATGGCTGGCGTCATGAATAGAGAATTTCATGAACTTGAGCTAGATGGTAGTAATTATTTATCATGGGCTATGGATACCAAGATAGCATTAGAATGTCGTAAACTTGGTTCCACAATTATCACACCTGTTGAAGGCGCTGCGGAAATCCCGCAAGCAGCCAAATATGGAGCATTAAGTTTTATAAGGCATCACCTCCATCCTGATTTAAAAACAGAATATTTAATGGAAGAGGATCCACTTGCTTTATGGAACTCTCTCAAGGAGAGATATGACCAACAAAGAGCAGTTATGCTACCAGAAGCCCAACGAGAATGGTCCCTCATAAGGTTCCAAGATTTCAAATCTGTGGCAGCATATAACTCTGCAGTTCACAAGGTTAATTCTAAACTAAGATTTTGCAACCAAGCAATTTCAGAAGAAGATCTTATTGAGAAGACCTTGTGCACTTTCCACCCCTCAATGAGAGTACTACAACAACAGTACCGTCAACAAAAATACAAAAAGTATTCTGAGCTCATATACACTTTACTTCAGGCTGAGAAACATGATGAACTTCTCATGAAGAATCATCAGACACGCCCAACGGGCTCCATGCCACTCCCTGAAGCACATGCTAACACTCAGTCTACTAAAAAGTATGGGGGAAATAAAAAGAATTTCAAGAAATTCAATGGAAAGTGGAAAAGGAACAACAAGCAGAAAACATTTGGTCAATCTAAAGGTAAAGGTCACTTCAAGAAAAATGACCGAAATACCAACTCCGAGATTTGTCAAAGGTGTGGATGCATTAACCATCGTACTAGCAAATGCCGAACTCCCAAGCATCTAGCGGATTTATATCTCAAATCCACCGGGAAAGGCAAACAAGTTCATGGTAAAGCAGAAGCTCACTTCAATGCTTTACAACAAGAAGAGAACCTTGAAGCTAGCACTTCTCAAAGCGCTCCTCAGGAAACAAGGAAGAAGGATGAAGATCTTCTTGATGTCGATAACATGATGGTGGAATACACCCAAGACGCATACGGAGATCTCATATAATCTCCACATCACTCATTTGATGTTATCAGCTATTTTATTGTAATAATGGAAGTTATAATTTGTATAACTCTAAGTAGAATAAAGTCCTACGGACCAATCATATTATGTAATTCAGACATAATGTCATATTTATTTGTGTAACTGTAATATGAATACTTTGTATGTATTTATATGTGAGTAATGAATAAAATTTCATCCTAAAATATTCTCTTACTCTATATAGATTTTACGGGAAGATAATCCAATGGAAGAAGAACTATGTTTGGTGGACAGTTGTACCACTAACACAATATTAAGGGAAATAAAATATTTCCAAACTCTAACTAAGAGACAAGGGAATATTATGACCATTGCCGGTCGCGATGCGTCAATTATTGGTTCAGGACGAGCCACACTCGTTCTACCTATGGGTACTACCATTGTAATTGAGGATGCACTCTTGTATCCTGAATCTACTCGCACCCTTCTAAGTTTCAAAGACATTCGATCAAATAATTTCCATGTGGAAACTATCTCTGATAATAATACTGAATATTTGCTTTTAACAAAGAGCAATGGGTCTGAGAAACAAATTCTTGAGAAATTCCCCTCACTTTCATCTGGATTATATTACAGTTATATAAAACCCGTACCACATGTTGCGTACAAAATAATTTTTCAAGACCTTGATAAATTTAAGACTTGGCATGATCGCCTAGGTCATCCTGGCATAGGGATGATGAGAAAAATTATTGACAATTCTATTGGTCACAGCCTTCCAACTAAAAGATTCCCCAAATCATCTGATTTTGTGTGCACCGCATGTGCAACTGGGAAATTAATTATAAAACCATCTTATCTTAAAGTAAAAAATGAGTCATTAAATTTCCTTGAACGCATTCAAGGAGATATATGTGGTCCAATTCAACCACTATCAGGACCCTTTAGGTATTTCATGGTACTCATAGATGCATCTACTAGATGGTCACATGTGTGTCTATTATCCACACGTAATCATGCCTTTGCCAAGTTAATTGCTCAGATTATCAAATTAAGAGCAAACCATCTCGAAAATAAGATAAAAACAATTCGAATGGATAATGCTGCTGAATTTTCTTCACGCGCATTTAATGACTATTGCATGGCTATGGGCATTAATTTAGAACATTCTGTGCCTTATGTTCATACTCAAAATGGATTGGCTGAATCTCTCATTAAAAGAGTAAAATTAATTGCTCGACCATTATTACAGAATTGTAATTTGCCAACATCTTGTTGGGCACAAGCAGTATTACACGCCGCAGATCTGATACAAATCAGACCAACTGCATATCACACAACCTCCCCGCTGCAACTAGTTCGTGGCACTCAGCCAAGTATTTCCCATCTGCGAAAATTCGGTTGCGCAGTATACGTACCGATATCACCACCCCAGCGTACAACCATGGGCCCCCACAGAAAACTTGGGATCTATGTGGGTTATAATTCTCCGTCAATTATAAAATATCTTGAACCTCTTACAGGGGACCTGTTTACTGCTCGATACGCTGATTCTATTTTTGATGAGGACCATTTCCCGGCATTAGGGGGAGAATCAAACCACAAAGAATGCCAGGAAATAGATTGGAATGTAACAGGCATCCAGTCCTTAGATCCACGTACTAAAGAATCTGAAACTGAAGTTCAGAGGATTATAGATTTGCAACACATTGCAAATAATCTGCCAGATGCATTTACTGACCATAAAGGTGTCACTAAATCACATATTCCCGCTGTTAATGCACCAGAACGAGTGGAGGTACCAAGTAAAACCACTCAAACCCCAAATGAGAGTAAGAGGGGGAGAAATCTGGTTAGCCGGAATATAGCTTCTCAGAAGCATCCGCGGAAACAGAGGAAATCAAATCCTCTACCAGTAAATGCAATTCAACATCAAGTTGAAGGACACCAATCAGATGCTCAACATCTAGAACCCAGCATAAATGCGCATACAAATATAATAGCTGGGACATCGGAACACCATGACTCTATTGTTGTGGGAAATCACATAGAGTCTGAAGGTATAAAAGAAATTTCCATAAACTATATAGAATCAGGAGAATCATACAACAGAGAGACTACAATTGTCGACATATATTTTGCCTCTGAAATTGCTGAAATCCTTCAACTGGATCCAGAACCAAAGACCGTCAGGGATTGCCTCAAGCGTCCTGATTGGCCTAAATGGAAGGAAGCAATTGAGGCAGAACTGCGCTCGCTCAACAAAAGAGAGGTATTTTCCTCAGTAATACCTACTCCTCAGAATGTCTTCCCTGTGGGAGCAAAATGGGTTTTTGTTCGAAAAAGGAATGAAAACAACGAGGTGGTGAGATTCAAAGCGAGGCTTGTAGCACAAGGGTTCACGCAGAGACCTGGCATCGATTATGATGATACATACTCTCCTGTCATGAGTGGAATAACGTTTCGATATTTAATATCTTTGGCAGTACAAATGAATTTATCTATGCAGTTAATGGACGTAGTGACAGCATACTTGTATGGGTCACTCAAATCGGACATATATATGAAAGTTCCTGAAGGACTTAAAATGCCGAATCCAAAAGCAAATCGCAACGCATATTGTGTAAAATTACGGAAGTCACTCTATGGCTTAAAACAGTCGGGTAGAATGTGGTATAACCGACTGAGTGAGTTTCTTATTCAGAAAGGATACTCAAATAATGATGATTGCCCTTGTGTATTTATAAAGAAATCCTCAAATGGATTTTGCATCATCTCAGTGTACGTTGATGATCTCAATATCATTGGGAGTACACATGATATAGAAGAAGCACGCAGTCATTTAATGACGGAATTTGAGATGAAAGATTTGGGAAAGACCAAATTTTGCTTAGGCATACAGCTTGAGCATCTTCCCTCGGGAATTTTAGTATACCAACCTGCTTATATTCAAAAGGTTTTGGGAAAATTCAATATGG